CCTTCCTTCCTTCCCTTCCTTCTCCCTACTTCCCTCCCCCCCCCTCTCTCTCCTGCTGCCACACATGGCTGGCTCCTATTTAAGGGAGACCCCTCTCACAATTGCTGGCATGAAGGCAAGTTTTATCTAGTCTGTTACCTAGACAGTTGGCTTTTCTTTTCTAAGTGTAAAACCTTCCTCCTCTCTATGTTGAATTTCATTTTGTTAGAAAGGGCCTGGTGTTCTTCCATGAACCTTAGGAGGAAGGCATGTTTCCCATCATCAGTTGATGCTTGGAGCCTTCCAGTTGGTCAGTTTACATAGATTTTATAAAACAAAACACCCTATTTGTCATTAGCCAGGATCCGAACAGTATGCAACGGCCCTAACTTACCATCACCACCGCCACGGCAATGCCGACGGCTGCAATCACATTCAGCTTGTTTTTGAAGAAGTCTTCAATGGCTTTTGGGCACGGCTGGAAGAGAAAGGAATTTTATCCTCTGATAAAATTAATCGCACCCTCAAACAAAATATTGGAGGAGGCTCCGTGGTATTCGAAGCAGAACGTCCAGATTCAGTCCCAGTTTTGTCCCATACGGCATTCACCTTGTGATCTCTCAAGCTTCCTCCTTGCGTTACGCATTCAAGATGGACGGTGATTAATATTGATACGCTACTTATATATAAGGGTGTAGGTCTATACATAGGTTGTATAGAATATGTTTAAATGTGTGTTATGTATGTGCACACTTTGAAAGCAAGCAACTAAGTTTCATTTTTAATGTGTGCTGTTGTGCCCACAGGAAAAAATGATAATAAAGGTTATTTATCTGTCTGTCTGTCTATCTGTCTATCTATCTATCTATCTATCTATCTATCTATCTATCTATCCATCCATCCATCCATCTATCTATCTTCTATTTATCCATCAGTCTGTCTATCTATCCAGGGCTTTTTTTCTCATAGAACGCCCAGAATGGAGTTCCCGCACCTTTTTTGGATGAAACCTTGTAGGGTAGGCAAGGTGGGTTGTATGACATGTGTGAATTCCGGCACTTTTTTTTTTTTTTAGAAAAAAAGTACTGTATCTATCTATCTATCTATCTATCTATCTATCCATCCATCCATCCATCCATCATCTGTCTGTCTGTCTGTCTGTCTGTCATCCATCTATCTATCTATCTATCTATCTATCTATCTATCTATCTATCTATCTATCTATCTATCTATCTATCTATCTATCTTCCATCCATCATCTATATATCTATCTATCTATCTATCTATCTATCTATCTTCCATCCATCATCTATCTATCTATCTATCTATCTATCTATCCATCCATCCATCCATCCATCCATCCATCTATCATTTATCCATCCATCCATCACTTGGCCGTGCAGTGCCCAAGCAGACACCGCAACCATGACAGGCTTTGACCCAGGCAGATTGAAGTGGAACACCAAACATTTATCTCTCTGCCTCTTTCCCTCTCCTAGACTGGACTTTGAAACAAAACTTCCAACTGCATTCCCAACTAGTCCTTGGCAGTCTCCACTCTGAGGATTTCCATCCTATGGGACAATAAACCCCGGGGGGGGGGGGGGAGAAATGTGCCCTTGGAACAGATGGATTATTTTTGGGAAGGTGGGAATAACATCTTTCTCTTTCTGCTGGTGAGACCCTGCTTACAATTCTTACAAATTGCAAATAAATTATAACTAGCAACCACCCTGCACACACGGAGACCTCGAAAGCTGGGAAGCGGCATTAGCACTCACATCCTTGGACCTTCCAATCCAATATTAGCACGAAATATAATCTGCTTCTCTTAAAAAAAATTAAAAATAAATCTGACACGCTATCCACAAATCGAAATGCACAAATGCGCTTTGTACCCCAATACATACCATGGGGTTTTCAGGGCAGGTATCTTGATAATCAGGTTCCGGAACACCAACAGGACCACAGCAATTCAACTACAGCAAAAAAGAAACACAAGAATTGTTTGTCCCGAAACGAGATGCGAGAACAACTCTAGACCCCTGGCCTAGTTGGCATGACACCCCTAGGCCAGGGGTCTTCAAACTCGGCCCTTTTATGACTGGTGGACTTCAACTCCCAGAATTCCTCAGCCAGCGTGCCTGGCTGAGGAATTCTGGGAGGGGTCTTCAAACTCGGCCCTTTTATGACTGGTGGACTTCAACTCCCAGAATTCCTGGCTGAGGAATTCTGGGAGGGGTCTTCAAACTCGGCCCTTTTATGACTGATGGACTTCAACTCCCAGAATTCCTCAGCCAGCGTGGCTAGAAAAATGGAGTAGAGAGTAGGAATGGAAGCTGTGCTCTTATTCATATCAAATATGTGGACCCAGACAACACGTTTATTAAACACTAAAGATTGTAACTATAAAAATGTAATAAAATATATAATAATAATAATAATAATGATGATGATGATGATAATAATAATAATAATAATGCTGGAGGTCATGTAGTCCAACCCCCTGCCCAGGCAGGAAACCCTAGACCATTTCAGACAAATGGTATAGGGTTTCCTGCCCGAGCAGCGGGTTGGACTAGATGACCTCCAAGGACCCTTCCATTTCTATTATTATTATCTGAAACAATATTATTTAAAAAAAAGAAAAATAAAAAGCAAGAGGGCCCTGAGGCAGAGGGGCAAGGCCCTTCCTCTTCATGGTGGCTAAGAGGTGGGGCTAAAACCTCAGAGGGGCCGTCCATCGTGAGGAGGGTCAGGGACCGGCCTTCCCTTGTAGAAACCCCCTGCCCAACGCGAAGAGTCAAGAGGCCAATGAAGGAGAGACTTACGGCCAGGTGGAAGGCTTTCAGGCTGGCTTTCACCTTGGGGTCCCTTCTCTTGTCATACAAGGTCATGTAAAATTCCTTTATTTCTTCAGGGATCTGACAAAAGAGGAGACAGAAGAGAAGACGGGCAGGTCAGGGTCGGCACAAGGGGTCCTTGGGACTCTCTGACCTTAGGGGCTTTTTTCTTGCAGATGCTTCATTGACCAAACTAGGTAACATCAGCTGACCGTGAGGACAATCAACCAGTGGAGTGATTTGCCTCCAGGAGGGTTGGAGTAGACGACCTCCAAGGTCCCTTTAGAATAGAATAGAAGCTGGAAGGGACCTTGGAGGTCTTCTAGTCCAGCCCCCTGCTCAAGCAGGAGAATCTCTGCTGGGACTGTCTAGCCTCTTCTTAAAAACCTCCAGTGATAGAGCGCTCACAATTTCTGGTGGCAAGCTGTTCCACTGGTTAATTGTCCTATATCTATCTATCTATCTATCTATCTATCTATCTATCTATCTATCTATCTATCTATCCATCCATCTCTATCTATCCATCTCTATCTATCTATCATCTCTCTCTCTCTCTCTCTCTCTCTCTCAATCTATCTATCATCTCTCTATCTATCATCTATCTATCTATCATCTCTACCTATCATCTATCTATCATCTATCATCTCTATCTATCATCTCTATCATCTCTATCTATCATCTCTATCTATCATCTCTATCATCTCTATCTATCATTATCTATCTATCTATCTATCTATCTATCTATCTATCTATCTATCTCTATCTATCTATCTATCCATCTCTATCTATCCATCTCTATCTATCTATCTATCTATCTATCTATCTATCTATCTATCTATCTATCTATCTATCTCTCTCTCTCTCTCAATCTATCTATCATCTCTCTCTCTCTCTCTTCCTTCTTCATCAATCAACACACAATAAATTCTGGAAGTTATCAGGAGAGGAATATTTATTTCTGGCTTCCTTGAGTCAGGGAAACGATAGCCCTGTGTAAACCCGAATAACACAAACTTTAGAGTTGTGTTGTCATCAATTTGAACTGTAGCCCCCCCCCCATCACCCCAAGCCCAGAGAATATCCTGCAATTTTTTTTTTCTGAAGGGTAAGTATTTACAAGTTCTACCTTTTCTTTGTTGGCAAATCCCCAGATGGCAGCGCCGACTTCAAGAGCAAAAATCACGAGAAGGAAGGTGAAAAACTAAGGAAGAACAAGATAATAAAGGGACATTTATAGTGAGGTGATGACTGAACACTTTGAGCCAATGCAGAAATATTACTTCACTGTCTACAGTTCACAGGATACATTAACACTGAGTGGACCTTGTGTGTTTTGTCTCAGCCACACAAGCAAAGGCTTCATGGATGAGAGTCAGCTTACTTGCTAGGCTGGGCAGATGGGCTGAGTGTAAATATTTTGGCGTATCATGACGATAACACCCTCATTTCATTTTTAGATGCCCCCTTCCTTCTGAAGAGACTCGGGGCAGGGTACCAAAAAATGCTAACAAGCAACTCTAAGAACAGCTTGATAAAAGCAATTGAACCAAAACAAGCTCCTTTAAACTCAGCAAATCAATGAAAGTCTTAAAAGGGCAGTAAAATAACAGCCATTCAGCCAGCTGAGCTGGAGAAAAGGGTTCCAGACTTAGCATCTTGCCACGTGGGAAGGAATAAGGACCACTGGTTGGACTAGATGACCTCCCAGCACCCTTTAAGCTTTATGATTCTATGCCCCACTATTTGGGGACCCTTTTAGGAAAGCCTCGCACTGTGGTCTTTGATGCTGAAGCTCAGATCCATTTTCTAATGAGCTTGAATAGGGGAAAGTATCTTATTTTTTCCTCTTGACATTGGTTTGTGTTTTGACATGTTTGTGACATGTTTGTGACATGTGTTTTCCCATCAAACAAGTCTCCAGGGCTGACAACACCCTAGATTTGCTGTGGTCCTTTGAAGAATTTGGGGTGGGAAGGAGTTAACGCAACTCCTCTTAAAGGTTGCACTGCTGAAAAATAAAGGTAGAAAACCTTTGTCTTTATCTTTTTTTGCAGTTTTTGTCTTTTTTTCTCAACCAGGGCAAACTTACTCTTGTTTTTCCCAAATCTCAGCCTGGATCTGAGCTTTCAAATTGATCCTTCTCTCTCTCTCTCTCTCTCTATCAAATGATCTGGGCCAATCAGACCATCACCATCTTTGCAAAAGAACTTTCTGCTTGAAAAGCGCAGGGATGTTATGCAAATAGGGAGCAGTTCTGTGGCACAAACAAAATCCTAACGCACATCACTCACTGCGTTTGGAGCCTCTCCGGGCATGCATAATGAATTAAACATGTTTCCTAAGCTCTATTTTTAGACCGGGGGAAAAAAAAGCAAAAGCTCAAGAAATGAAATGGTCCAATTTTAAGGCCTGATCTGTGTGGGTGTGGGTATATGTGTGGGTGAAGACTTACCAAGCCAAGCATACACTGGGACTCCTGTATCGCTCCACAGCATCCCAAGAAGCCGACCAGCATTATGAGGGCGCCAGCACCAATGAGAATGTAAATCCCTATGGAGGAGAAAGGAGGAGGAGGAGGAGGGGAAAGGGAAGAGGAAGAAGAAGAGGAAGAAGAAGAAGAAGAAGAAGAGGAGGAGGAGGAAGATGAAGGAGGAGGAGGAGAAGAGGAAGAAGAAGAAGAAGAAGAAGAAGAAGAAGAAGAAGAAGAAGAAGAAGAAGAAGAAGAAGAAGAAGAAGAAGAAGAAGAAGAGGAGGAGGAAGATGAAGGAGGAGGAGGAGAAGAGGAAGAAGAAGAAGAAGAAGAAGAAGAAGAAGAAGAAGAAGAAGAAGAAGAAGAAGAAGAAGAAGAAGAAGAAGAAGAGGAGGAGGAGGAAGATGTGGAAGATGAAGGAGGAGGAGTAGGAGAAGAAGAAGGAGAAGAAGAAGAAGAAGAGGAGGAGGAGGAGGAGGAGGAAGAGGAAGATGTGGAAGATGAAGGAGGAGGAGAAGGAGAAGGAGAAGAAGAAGAAGAAGAAGAAGAAGAAGAAGAAGAAGAAGAAGAAGAAGAAAGAAGAAGAAGAAGAAGAAGAAGAAGAAGAAGAAGAAGAAGAAGAAGAAGAAGAAGAAGAAGAAGAAGAAGAAGAAGAAGAAGAAGAACAAGAATTATGTCACATGGAACAAGGAGTTCAACCAAGGTAGCATTGACCTGGCAAAGGAGGACCACTAGTTCTGCTTTTCTGAAGGCCTGACGGGGCTCCTTGTGGCTGTGGATCCGCTCCTGGCATCTTCTGTGCCTTGACTGCATTTACACCAATGGCTGTCATCTTTCCTTGCAGTGCCCAATCACTTGGGCGGGCCCTTTTTTGCCCCTTCTCATGTGGAATGATAAGCGGTCCGGCCTAGCGGTTAGGGTGCGAGCCTAGAAACTAGGAGACGGTGAGTTCTAGTCCTGCCTTAGCCCAAAAAAGCCAGCTGGGTGACTCTGAGGCAATCACAAGAGACCATGAGTTCTAATCCCGCCTTAGGCAGGAAAGCCGGATGGGTGACGTAGGGCCAGTCCCTCTCTCCCTTTCAGCCCAACCCACCTCACAGGGTTCTTGTTGTGGGGAAAAAAGGAGGAGGGAGGAGCCTAATTAATTAATTAGAGCAGGGGGTTGGACTAGAAGATCTCCAAAGGTCCCTTCCAACTCTATTATTATTATTATTATTATTATTATTATTAGTTGTTATTGTTTTGTTGTTTTGTTGTATTATTATTGTTATTATTGTTGTTATTGTGTTGTTGTTGTTGTTGTTGTTATTATTATATTACTATCCTCAAGAGGGCAGGTAAAAAGACTAGCCAAATTCTTCTTTCAAGAGACCACAGAGACCTCTCTATAGCCATCTGAGCAGGGGGTTGGACTAGAAGACCTCCAAGGTCCCTTCCATCATCATCATCATTGTTGTTGCTGTTGTTATTATTATTATTGTTGTTGTTCTTGTAATTATTATTACCTATTTGCCCCCTCAAGTTACTTTCCAAAGTTATAAAGGCAGGCTAAAATTCTCACAAATGAACAGATTAGGCCCCAGCTCCTATCAAAATTCATACAGCAGCCCTACCCTTTTACATTTCTTTTCTAACAATTTCAGGATGGAAATGGCCATGCGTCCATTTTGCAGAATTGATACCGGGGGCTACCAGCATAAACAATATTCCATCCTGGCTGCTTTAGCCATTATTCTCTTCCGCTCCCCAGCTCTACCCGCAAAACCAGTTGCACAATGTCCCCCCCCCCACACACACACAAAGGAAGCCAAGGACGGTTGCTCACAACCCCAGCAGAAAGCGGTTTTTTTTTTAAATCAGTTAACGGCTGCCCATTTTGCAAACATTCTTTTATTATCTTCATTAAAGCATTTCCTGGTTGACTTCAAAGGAAAACTGAGTGTTTAGGGCTGGGCAAGCTTTAAAAAAAAAAAAAAAAACGCTTCACCAGACCTCACACAAACTCTGCAGCTAAAGAAAAAAAAAAGAGAGAGATTTTGTCGCTGTTGGGAGGATCCAGCTAATGCTTTATTCCTGCCACTTTTATATATATATATATATATATTTAATTTCACACAGAAGCTTTGAAAAAAAAGCACAAGCGGTTTGAGCGGATAGCTTTGCTCATGTCAGCCTTTTTTTCACCGCCCTCGTTAAGAAGGGTTGATGAAATTTGCAAGGCGTTTTCTGGCATTAACGTGGGTTTTTAGTCCAATTACCAGTGCTTGTGTTTGTCAGGGATTTAAAAAAAAAACAACAACCACGGGAGCACAATCCTGAAATGTTTTAAACTTTAAAAGGGAATTCTGCAACCTTGAAGCAAAACCTCTGGGTCCTCCAGGAGAGAGAGAGAGAGAGAGAGAGAGAGAGAGAGAGAGAGAGAGAGAGAGAGAAATGTTACTAGCCTGGAAGGTTTTACCTTAATGATTTACCTGTATAGAATTTCGTATTGTTTTCATCCGACTGGAAGATATCCTTGGTCTGTGAATCAAAACGAAGCCATAGTCCAATTCCCAGGACGGCTGTGCCGGCAAGCTGTGGAGAAGTGAAGACAAAGACCCTCAGCCTTTGACTTGGCGTGAATTCCCCATGCAGGGTAGGCCTCAAGACCACCTTGCCCAACCCACCCTTCCAGTACTGTGAGTCTGGGCATGAACCTCCACAGAGGAAATTCTTCAGGAAAGGTCTTTAGGAGCTGCTAAAGGAACGTCATGGGGAGAAAACTATCCCCCCCCCCCCGCTAAATGTCTATGAAGATTATTCTCAGTCATGCTCCAACACTGGAAGTTTTTAAGAAGAGACTGGACAGCCATTTGTCTGAAATGGTGTAGAGTGTCTTGCCTGAGCAGGGGGTTGGACTAGATGACCTCCAAGGTCCCTTCCAACTTTATTATTATTATTATTATTATTATTATTATTATTATTATTATTATTATTATTGATCATCGCACAGTCAGCCAGATGTTCAGACTGGATTTGGCATTTTGTCTACCTATCGAGTCCTTAACCAGGACCTGGGATAGGCAGATGTGGATGTTTGATGGTATTACAGATATCGTCGCAGGATGGAAGCAGTTCCTAATAAGGCCGCCTTGTGCAATTGACTAATAGCAAATTTGTCAATGCCAATGGTGTTCAAGTGGTGCTCCAGTTGTTTTGGGATTGTACCCAAGGAGCCTATCACTATTGGTACTACCCTTGCTTGCTTTTGCCACAGTCTTTCTATTTCTATTTGTAGGTCTTTGTATTTTGTTATCTTCTCCAGTTCTTTCTCGTCTGTTCTGCTGTCTCCAGGCACTGCCACGTCCACTATCCAGACTTTTTTGTCTTTCTTATCAACAATTGTTAAGTCTGGGGTCTGCAAGGAGTATAAATCCTTGCCTCTTGAAAAAAAAAAAAAGCACTTTTGGGGTCTCTCCTTTCTAACTGAGGGCAAGAATTGGAAGTCCTGTCTCATATGAATTGACATTCCCCCCCCCCTGAAGGATGCATAGAACTCCAGCTTCCTCTTCCAATGGTTATAAATATTGATCTGCAGAACCCAGAAGCAGCTGGAGTGGCTGACAAATACACCCTAAGCATTGTTTTCCCTCTGGCAGCCCTGAATCACAGAGAGAGTGAGAGAGAGAAAGAGAGAGAAAGGGAGAGAGAGAAGAGAGAGAGAAAAGAGAGAGAGTAGAGAGAGGGGGGGAGAGAGAGAGAGAAAGAGAGAGAGAGAAGAAAGAGAGAGGAGAGAGAGAGAGAAAGAGAGAGAGAGAGAGAGAAGATAGAGAGAAAGAGAGAGAGGAGAGAGAAAGAGAGAGAGAGAAAGAGAGAGGAGAGAGAGAGAGAGAAAGAGAGAGAGAGAGAGAAGAAAGAGAGAAAGAGAGAGAGGAGAGAGAGAAAGAGAGAGAGAGAGAGAAGAAAGAGAGAAAGAGAGAGGAGAGAGAGAGAAAGAGAGAGAGAGAGAGAGAGAGAGAGAGAGAGAGAGTTCAGAAGCAGATAGGAAGAAAGATGGTTAGAAGTGGAGGGACATTAAAATGGACCCAATCAAACCCAAATTAAGAGGAGCCATGGAGACAACGAGGTGTCTTTATTATATTGCATCCCAAATATGCTTTTTGACGAGGCCACTGGACTTCCTCGTTTCTCTCTGAAGACGTTTCACTTCTCATCCATGAAGCTTGTTCAGCTCTGACTGGATGGTGGGAAAATGGAAGGATTAATACTCCTTCAATCATTCATAAACCTCCAAGTGGTCTCCACTACTCTCTAAAAGGAGGCAAAGGACCAGCTGTCTGCAAGGAGTATAAATCCTTCCCTTCCCCACCATCCAGTCAGAGCGGAAGAAGCTTCTGGGAGGAGAAGAGAAATGCCTTCAAAGGAAAAACGAAGAAAGTCCAGTTCTTTTGTGTCCTTTTTCTTACTTATTTCTAAAGACACGAAAATAGATTTAAATACTTTTAAGGTAATTCATTCTGGGGAAATTTTTAACCAGCGGAAATGTTTGGAACATTGTATGGAAAATAAATTTAAACCAGAATTGTAAACAGGATTTATGACGAGGCAACCGAGATGGCCAGATAGAAAAGAAGCATGACAGCGATGTGGTTATTATTGGTAGACATTTTAGAAAAAAATCTTTCTGTTTAATCGTTGCCTATCAAATTAATAAGAACTGTATTCATTTACAGTGGAAAAAGAGAACATGATTGGAAGAAGAGAAAATCAAGCCAAGCTGTTATGTGGATTTTGGAATATAGAAACTAACCAACCACTAGTGATTACTTTGTAAATATAAAGCCAAACAACACGCTGTTTACCAAATATTAAGGTGTTTATGTTAAAAAATTAATTATATATATATATATATATATGTAGGTCTTTGGTTGTTCGGGTTTTCTCCCGCGTAAAACCCGAACAACCAAAGACCTACATACAAACACCCGCGAAAACCTCAGAAAACATATATATATATATATATATATATATATATATATATATATATATATGCTCCTAGAAGCACGAAGCTGAAAACACCAGCCTGAAGATGACGAATGGGACTTCGTCAAAACGTCGCCAAGACACTTCCAATTTGACGTGGGAGAAAACCTGAATAACCAAAGACCTACATACAAACATCCTTCCATTCCCCACCATCCAGTCAGAGCTGAAGAAGCTTCTGGGATGAGAAGCGAAACGTCTTCAAAGAAAAACAAGAAAAGTCCAGTTGCTTCCTGAAAAAGGCAACTTTGGGATAACTATAATAATAATAGTAGTAGTAGTAGTAGTAGTAGTAGTAGTAGTAGTAGTAGTAGTAGTCATAGGCGCCTTGGATGCAATCCCAAAACAACTGGAGCACCACTTGAACACCATTGACATTGACAAATTCGCTATTAGTCAATTGCAAAACGCGGCCTTACTAGGAATTGCTTCCATCCTGCGATGATACCTGTAATACCATCAAACATCCACATCTGCCTATCCCAGGTCCTGGGTAAGGACTCGATAGGTAGACAAAAATGCCAAATCCAGTCTGAACATCTGGCTGACTGTGTGATGATCAATAATAATAATAATAATAATAATAATAATAATAATAATAATAATAATAATAATAAAAGTTGGAAGGGACCCTTGGAGATCATCCAGTCCAACCCCCTGCTCAGGCAGGAAACCCTACACCATTTCAGACAAATGGCTCTTCCAGTCTCTTCTTAAAAACTTCCAGTGTTGGAGCATTCACCGCTTCTGGAGGCAGGTCGTTCCACTGGTTCCACTATGACCTGGAGGACTGAGAATAATCTCCATAGATACTGTATTGCATCAGCAGCAAAGAGGATGGGAAGTGGGGAACCGCAACATCTGACGGCGTCTGCGTCGTCCTTGGTGGACAAAATGCATCGCGCCTGCCTTGGCTCATATTCTTCTTTTGTGTTCTTGTCTAGTGAGGGATACTTTTTAGTTTCTCAAGGAAGGTGGTGAGGGCTTTGGGGGCATCAGAGCTAACTCCGCAGTTTCCTGAACTGTGCCAGAGTGCTGAAGGGTGACTGACGTTACAAAAGGAAAACAGGCGTTGAAGCTGGACCTAACCAAGCATTTATCAAACGCCCATCCTAAAATAACTAAACAGTTTTTGCAATCACATGGGGGTCACTCCCTGACCCCTGGGGGTGTTTTAATGCCCGTCCCCAGCCCCGCTGAAGCTCCACATGGATGACAAAGGTCCAATGTTTCTATTCCTATTTTGGCCACAGCGATTCTGAACCCTGTAGTCTAGCAGTGGTGACGGTTTGAAGTCAATTGCGCAACCTTCCTGTTTATTTTCCTAGGCTGGGTCAGCCATGAGGAGCCCCCACAGCTTGCCTCACCAGCCTGTGTCCCTGAAGTGCATCATTGTTTTCCCTGCAGATTACTACACTGCCTGTCTGGAGCCAAAGTCACAGCCAGCGAGATCACGTGCAACAATGGGCCAGCCCATTGCTGGCCTTTCAAAAAGAGAGGAACGCAGAAGTAGATCTAAGTAATAACAGGTTAGGGAAACACAATTCACTGTGTGCAGTCAGGCCTGCAAGCCTGGGTGGGGCGGGGATGAGAGTGGGGTTAGAATTCAGGACGGCCGGCTAATTCTGCCCACTGACCAGGAGTTCGGTTCTGGTGGGGCTCAAGGCGGATTCAGCCTTCCATCCTTCCACGGTCGGTAAAACGAGGACCCAGATTGTTGGGGGCAAATAGGCTGACTCTGTAAACCACTTAGAGAGGGCTGTAAAAGCACTGTGAAGCGGTAGATAAGTCTAAGTGCTATGGCCAAGTGCGAAGGAAGGAAGGAAGGAAGGAAGGAAGGAAGGAAGGAAGGAAAGGAGGGAGGGAGGGAGAGAAAGAAGGAGGGAGGGAGGGAAGGAAGGAGGGAGGGAGAGGGAGAGAAGGAAGGTGTGAAGGAGAGGGAGAGAAGGTGCGAAGGAAGGAAGGGGGGAGGGAGGGAAGGAAGGAAAGAAAGGAGGAGGGAGAGAGGGAGGAAAGGAAGGAAGAAGGGAGAGAGGGAAAGAAGGAAGGTGGGAAGGAAGGAAGAAAGAAGGGAGAGAAGGGAGGAGGGAGAGAGGGAGGAAGGGAAGAAGGAAGGAAGGAAGGAAGGAAGGAAGGAAGGAAGGAAGGAAGGAAGGAAAGGCCATGGTGGTGCAGTGGTGAGAATGCAGTATTGCAGGTTGACTCTGCCCACTGCCAGCAGTTCGATCCTGACCGGCTCAAGGTTGACTCAGCCTTCCGTCCTTTCCAGGAGGATCCAGATTGATGGGGGCCATAACCTGACTCTTTAAACTGCTTAGAGAGGGCTGTAAAGCACTATGAAGCGGTATATAAGTGTAAATGCTGTTGCTACTAGCCAGAATCAAGGGCAATTTTAGTCCATCAACCAGCACAATCCAGTCAGCCTTTCTGTGGTTTATTTACTAAACCAAAGCTAAGTCAAGGATCAATATTTAGGTTTCTATTTAGTATCCCCACCCAACATACTGACTAGGCAGGCTTTTTTTCCCCATAACTGTTGGGTTGTGAGTCCC